GGGTGGGCAGCTCTGGGGGTGGAAAGCTGGTTTCTCACAGCTGGGGGCTGGCAGCAGCTCCTGTGCATCATGGAAAGTTACCTGTGATCTCAAAACCCTGGTGTCAGGCGATGGCTGTTTTTTCTTCTTTCACGGTCTCGTCACTCAGCCTTTGCTCACGCTGAGGAAGGAGGAACCGAGATGACATCTCAGGGAAGGTGATGCAGTGGGTGCTGCTCTCCAGGGAGGCATGAGGGGATGGGGAGCTCCAATTCTATTGCTTTCCTTCAGCTTTTGAGGTTTAAGTGGAAGGGCTGAGCCCTGGGATGAGTTAGAGCAGCCTCTCCCTCTGTCCTCTTCCTCCCTGCTCAGAGGTGGCTCACTGCCTCACCTGTGTTTTGGTAAAGCCTCAGAGGGAATGGACCCCTCACATATGAAAGTGCTTTGGTTGCATCCCGAGGGGCAGCACTTTAAAGAAAGCCAGAAACATCCTGCACGTGAGCGGGCTGGATCTGACTTTGTGCTTCACAGATGTGGACAGGAAAATGAAAACCTTCTTGCTGCGTGGGCTTTGCCGTCGCAGTGATTTGCTGACCGGCAACACTGGGGTCCAAAAGCACCAGCGGGAGAGGCAGCGGGCACCCACGCAGGCTCCCTTACCTTGCTCTTGGGTATCAGGACTCATATATTCTTGGAAAGGAATTACATGTTTCTACTCCTTCTCTTCCAGGGTGGTCCAGTCGAAATCCTGCCTTTTCTCTACCTTGGTAGTGCCTATCACGCTTCCAAGTGCGAGTTTCTCGCCAACCTGCACATCACGGCCCTGCTCAATGTCTCCAGGAAAAGCTCGGAGTCCTTCAAAGACCAGTATTGCTACAAATGGATCCCAGTGGAGGACAGTCACACAGCAGACATCAGCTCACACTTCCAGGAAGCCATCGACTTCATTGGTAGGTCCAAATTAACAGATTTCCAGACCTTCATGTGTTTTAAAGTCATTTATTTTAAAAGACATGTTGATGGGAAGGACGAGTTATTTTGCGTATGCTCCCAGATGTCACAGCTGAAGTTTAAGCTCCCTCCCTCCCCAAGCATCCCTCCTGGTAGAGGGATTTCCATAGGGAAGGAAGAGGGACATTGAGAGCAAGGTCTCTATCCTCCCCAGGCTGGGGAAGGGAAATGTCTCCTCTTGACTGCCATCAGGCAGATGAGGCAAGCGAGCTGGTTAGATTCATTTTCTTTTCAAAGCAAGCGTAGGTGTAACTTCAGCATGACAAGGAGCAAAGAAGTATGGTCAAATAACACCAAAGGCTGCTGATTTTTGTAAAGGAAAAATTCAGCATGACAAGGAGCAAAGAAGTATGGTCGAATAACACCAAAGGCTGTTGATTTTTGTAAAGGAAAAGAAGTATTGCTTCCTTGGACATGCATACCAGACCCTGTAAAAGCCAAGTGAAGCAGAGTCAGCTCATTGCCTTGCTCTGCTGAGATATCCTAAAGCCAGTGTCTTAGAAATCCCCTTATCACAGAGCTCCTTCCATTGCTCATTTTGGTCATGCCAGTATCCCACTCTCAAATACCTGGATGCAAAAAAACTGAGGAGGCCTTTAGAAAACTCTGGGCCATCCCTCCCAAACCTTCCTGTGCGAGGCTGCATAGGTGAGCACACATCAGCCCTGCCAGGTAGCTCAAGGGAAAGGCTCCTCCTTGAGAGGTACAGGGTGGTTTAGTGGGGTGGAGTGGCTGGAGCCTGGGTGGAGGTGGTGGTGAAGTCAGTGCTGTTTCTCTCCAGGAACATTCAAGAGAGAAACAGAATAAATCCCCGTTACAGGCTCGCTGGGCTCATTGCTCAGCTGAGTTGAGTCCTTCGGCAGTGCAGGCAGAACTGCAAATAACTGATCCGAGTCCTTCCCTTCTTGGTAAGGGACTTTTCACACCTTTCAGGGAAAGGATAATTGAAGACATTCTTCTGTCCCATTCCCAACCCCTTCTGATAGTTGAGTCAACTGGAAACTTCCCAGATTGAGGATGACTTTAGTTTTCACTTTCTTTTAAAACTGGGCGTGTGGTGTCAATGCTGCAGATGACTCAAGTCCATGTCTTCCTTATTTTGTGCAGTAGTTAAATATAACCGGTTGTGGTGGCACCAGTCCCCAGGCAGACAATTGAAGACAGGCAAATGATAACTTGCTCAGCTCTGCGTCGTTCCACTGAGCACTACACTCAGTGCAGTTATCCATAAAATGGAGCTTGAACATATTGCTCAAGGCAATAGAGCAAAGAATGTCTATTTTTGAACTGTATTTTTTGTGTAGAAAGGGTTTATTTTAAGCACATTCTCTTTAATCTAATAACAATCATTGTGTTGTGTGAGTAACCACAGTGGCTCCTGTTGTGTAAAATGGGTGCTTTGCATAAGCCTTTTATATCCTGACTTAAGTCCAAGCATCCTTTAACCAGGCTGTAATTAGTAACTGCCTACCAGCCCTTGTGTGCTTTGTGGTGAGGCCCCAGGGAGTGAGCTCAGCCTCTCCACCCAAGGGCACCCACCAAGGGCTCAGCACCTGGTATTGCCATGTGCTGCTAACCAGCCAAATAGGGAGTTAGGTTTGGGATTGGTTAGGTCCTGGTTTTCTAGCAAAGCTGGTAAGAGGAAGGCAGCCCTTTAGCATCTGAAAGGCCTGATGGTCTGGGCTTGGGACAGCACTTAGAGCTGCAGGCAGAGAAGGGAGGGCACAGCAAACGCAAGTATTGCCAAAATACCTGATCTCTATCTTGCAATGCTCTGCGAAGTCAGTTGTTCAAAAAAAGAAATACGCATGTGGGAAGGAGATAGGGAAGCAATTTCCTAAAAAATATAGAAGGAACCAAATCAGGATGCACAGATTCTGAAACCAAGTGCCATCTGCAGCTCAGCTCTATCTCTGGGTTTTGTTCCTCTTCTCTTTTAAACTCCATTTTACCATTAGTACCCAACAGAGGAGCAAGCCTCTCCTTGCTGGTGGACTGGCTGTGTGCCATACTGCACCTCCAGCGCTGGGTGCATGTCACAGTGTCCTCTGCATCCCCAGTGACAATTGATGTCTGCAACACCTTTTTTTTTTCCTCCCTAGATTATGTCAGAAGAACGGGGGGCAAGATCCTGGTGCACTGCGAAGCAGGGATTTCACGCTCCCCCACCATCTGCATGGCGTATCTCATGAAGACGAAGAAGCTCCGCCTGGAGGAAGCCTTCGATTACATCAAGCAGCGCCGGAGCCTGATCTCACCAAACTTTGGTTTCATGGGCCAGTTGCTACAATACGAGTCAGAGATCTTGTCTTCCACCCCCAGCCCCCCTGTTGCCTCATGCAAAAGAGAAGCTGCGTCTTTCTTTGCGGAAGAGCTGACGTTAGGCAAAGACTTTGAAGGCTCCTGTTTCGCCTTTCCTACCTCAGTGTTGAGTTCTGTGCCCATCCATTCTCCTGTCCACCAGCTGAATCTCAGCCCAATGACAGCATCTTCATCCTGCTGAAACACCCTGGGAGATCGAAGCTGGTGCGGTCCTCTGACCTGAACTGTGATCCCCCCTCCCCAACAAGAACATTTCATGAACGTGCAATAGAGAAACCTCATTGACTTAGTGTGAGACGGAGTGGTTGTCATGGGTTGTACTTCCTGTATGCCCTGACTGTGAGACACAAGTGCTCCAAGTGTGGCAGGTTCTCTGAACTTTTATGGTCCTTTTTTTAAAACAAGAAAGTGCTTTTTTAGGTTTTTATCCAGAGTGTGCACCCACTACTGTATTCCCAGATTCCTCAGGAGCAATGAGAAACCCATTTAGTATGTTCTCAGTTCCCACCTCCTTCCCTTCTTGTTTTCTGAAAGACCCTTATTTAACGTTCCAAGCAATAAGCATCAGCAGCAGCAGGAAAGAAAGCAAAGTGGAAAGCACGACCTTTGCATCCGCAGAGGTGGTGGGAGTGAATATTTGTTCTGCTTTTTCTCCCGCTTTCCTCCTCCCCTCTCCTGTGTCATGTTTCAGGGAGCAAAGGGCTGGGGTGGTGGGAGGGAGCTCCTTTCCCAGGACACTGTTGCACAACCAGGTGAAAATCCCCTCTCCGGCTCCAGCCTCTGAAGTGTTAGGTATAGACCACAGTGTAACTGGATACCAAACCAGACCGCGGATCCATTCAGGTGTTGCATTTCCCGTACTTCTGCATTTGCCTTTGTACTGGATGTGCTTTTAACTATGGCGGGGACTTAACAGAAGCTATCAGGCTACCCTGCTGAGCTATTATCCTCCCATCTGTTATTTAAGAACAGCCCTAGAATACTTGAATGTCTCCAATCCTCTGTTCCAGTTACTTCCCGTCAGATAACACTGTAACTGCTGGATTTTACACCAAAAAAACCCCTGACAAGCTCCAAGCCAACTCTTCCTCCATCCCTTCCCAAGTGTTCCTAACCTGTATCGTGTGTGGTCAAGTGGTCTTGTTCAATGTTGTGTGGCTTTTCAGTGTGTGTGGTCACCTCGAGCCAGCCTTTGTCTGTGAAAACTGGTTTCTCTCTCTTTGGCTTCTGTGTCTGCAGGGAGTTCAGAATGAGCGTCTCTCTTTGTCTGTTGACCTTTTTATTTTTTTTTAATATGTAATATGTATGGGAAATGGCAATAATTTCCAGGAGATCTCGTGAATGTGAAAGAAAACCTGCAATGGGTTTTTTATGGAGTGTAAAGAAAAATAAAGGAAAAAAAAATGCCAGGAAAAGCAAGCTGTTTGTTGCATTTGGAGCAAGCTGCTAAAGTGCTTTGGCAGAGCTCGGTGGCCACAAAGGTCACCTGTGACAAAGTGTCATGGCCCAAAAGTGATGTAAGGAGGTAGAAGAGGAGGGCGAGCATCACTGGGTTCTGCTGAAAGCCTCTGAGGTGCATCTCTACGGGGGGAGACGGTGAGGGGGAGGATTGTTTTAAACAGAATGACATGAGTCATGGTGGCGTCACTTCCCAGCAGCCAGGCAGGCGCTTCTGGTTTGATTCATGTATGTTTTATATAAGATTTGCCATCTTGCTGAAGAGCTGAACTAGGCACAGCCCCCACTTCCTTCCTGAGCACATGCCATAGGATGCTGCACGTAATGGTCCCTGGCGTGATGCACCTCAAGGTGCCACGGGCCACCCGTGAGCATCATCCAGGGACCGTTACATGTGGGTAATGCTCATTTATTCATTTATTTAGATGGAAAGAATTAACTTCAGGTGCCAGCATCTCTGAGCCATTTCATCCCCCTTTTTGGCTGGAAGTTTTCAGGCTCTTCCTGGCTCATCACTGCAGCACATTTATAATTTGCAGTTCCAAGTTATCAAGTTGAAAAATTCGTGGTAGGTGTTTGGGTTACAAAGCATCTCTATGCCTTGTGGGGCTCGTCTCTTTGTAACTTCTTACCCCAAGGGAAGCAAATCTGACAGGTGAGAAGCTGTCACTGGAGATGAGCCTTGGATTTCTTCCCTGTGTCAGGGGGATGGAGCAGCAGCCCTGCCTGGGCTCTGGGAAACCCGAACATGGGAATGTGATCCAGTAAAAGCAGATCAATTAGAGTTCTGAAAGATCTGATTGCTTCCCTTGGGGAACTGGAAAGTGCTCTCAGCCCCCACAAGCACCCAAGTGGAAAGGCTGCCAGGCTTAGTGACAGTGGCTGCATCCTGAGCATGGAGACCTACAACTTTGTCAGAAACAGAGCACTCAACGGTTGTCATTAAAACAGCATGAAGTCCCTTCTTGGGGAATGACCAGCTTTGTTTCTCAAGGATGAGGATGCAAAAACCTTCTGCAGAGCTGATGGTGTTTGCCGTGGGAACCTGCAGAGCATGAGGCAGTGGACTGAAGGGGTTAATGGAGGGACTGCTGGCCTTGGAAGATTTGACCACAGCAATGGAAAAGATCACAGGCTGGGAGAAGGGGCCAGGTATTTAGCAGAGAGGGAAGAGAGCTGCTCTGGTTTTGGAGCAGGACTCCGATCCTGAGTGTTAATGCTGTGTGTTAGTGGTTGGTGTTGGCAGAAGGAGATGCTGGGCTGGGATTCAGCAAAGATGGAGGGCCAGAGCCCTGTGGGAGCCTGAAGAGGGGTGGTTGGTTGTCATGCCTGGGCAGAGGAGCCCGAGGTTTGTGCTTCTGCTGAGGGAACAGTTCAGTCTGCTTGGCTGGTCCCAACCCATGTCTCCAACCTGCAGGAGGAAGCCCCAGCATCCAGGACAGAGAGGGATGTAAATGCTGCCTCCCAGAGGAATGTGCTCCCATGCTTGTGTCTGCTTTGCTGTTTCGGTGTTAATGTAAGACCTCTGCCCCAGCTCAGCTCTTCTTTTGGCCAATCCCACCTCTCTGAGGAGACATCACAGCCATCTGACCGCAGGGCTCTGGCCTTCGAGTACATGTTCTCCTCCCTCCCTGGCCATGCTGTTCCCAGGGGCAGGGAGGAGCTGAGGACCCAAGCACCAGTGTGTGAAGGTGAGTGTGACAAGTCAGGGTGGCACCTGCCTAGGGTATGGGATGTGTGAGTTTGAAGTGCACGGGCAGGGCAGGAGCCCTGGTTCTCTGCTTCCAGACACCAGCACACAAAAGCAACCTTTTAACAGCTCCAGCAGTGTTTTGTGATTTGTGTGCTGAGCAAATTCGACAGACTGGGTAGGATGGAAGATTTAGCAAGCTTTCTTAGCCAAGATGGGGTTGGGTTTGGGTAGTTCACTCCTAAGGATGGGAGTTCAGACCAGGCAGCTGTGTGGGGAACGTCAGAGCTGCAGAATGGTGGTTGACAGTGATGGTGGCTGAACTGGCTGGTTCAAGATACCTGTGTCCATCTGCCAGCTAAGTCTGGCAGGGGAATAAGGATTTCAAAACCAAAGTTCTGATTGAAAGTACAGACCTACACAGCTGTGACAGCAAGGGGAAAGCTAACACAGGATGATTTCAGACATCAGAAAAGGCAAGGAAGGGAAAGATGCCAGGAATGCTGTACCCTTAGGCAAAGCTTTGATTCGAGTTTATCCCTTATGATACCTGAATCCAAAGAAGATGAGAGGAAGTGTTACAGAAAAAGGGAATTTGCAGGTTATGCTGCCCATGGAAGTGCTGCTTCATGTGAGCATGTCTCTCCATTAACCCTGCTGATGGTGCACCTTTATGTTCTGGACTCCTTGGTGTCAGTCAGGGAATGTTCCAGATCCTGGTGTGGGGCTAAACAGGGCTTGTGCCACGTTACTATTGGTCTCATGCGTTTCGGCTTGCAATGAGCAGTCATGTTGCAGGCATGAGTGCTGATGCTCAGCCCCTGTCTCTGTGTTGCACACGCTGCCTTTCCTTTCTGCCTCCAAGACAAACAAACTCTTCAGAAAAATGCCACAAAAATTACATGTCTTTACATGCTTGCAAATCACACTGTGAAGAGATATGGGGTGGGGGTGGATGGGTGGGTGTTATCCTTAAGTGTCCCTATGTATTCTTTTATTCCACATAATTTGCTGGTGTGATTTCCAGCCTATGCTGGTTACAAAATCATCTCCTGATTTTCTGATTAGAGGTCTTTCCAAAAGGCAGAAATCACATCCTGACCAGGTAAAATTCACCTGCTCCATGGGGAGTTTCTATCGAGGTGCCCATCCCCAGTCCCTGAGCAACACAAGGTAGGTAGCTCTTCCTAGCTTCTTGCCTTCCGGTGGTGAGCTGCTTTTATATTTTAGGAGACAAAGCTCAACGAATAAGGTATTCTGCAGGTATTGTTATTTATATGCTAAAAACAACACTTGCCTTGTTGGGAAGTCAAAGGTCCAAATGTGCCTGTAACACGGCAGAAGGAAGTGAGGCTCTGGGCATGGTGAATCTGACCCTCCATCTCCACTTTTCACAGCTTCATGCTAATTGAAGAGGAGACACGCTGTCAGCTCACTCTCTGGGGAGAAAAAAGCAGGAACCAATTTGCAAAGCCATATAAATATGGAAGTAGGATTTTTTTGGGCGTGGGAGGTGTTACCAGTACCACACATTACGGTTCCTTGGCTTTATCACGTTGTGGGCTTTTACCGAGACATGAGTAAGTTCACTAAATAAGGAATATGAAAACAGCTTGTGAAATGGGTTGAGTCATCAGAGAAAATCAAATGAAGTTCTGACACCAGGGCCTCAGTTGTAAAGTCCTACTTTGTTTTACCATTGCATTATAAATGATGGGATCATTTCAGTCTGTTTATTTCAGCTTTAAAATTCAAAGCACTCTGACATCCAAGTAAGGCTTACCAAATGAGTTCATTTTTCTATAGCAGCTGTGATGCAGCCCTATGCATCCTGCCTATGAACACTTGCAGGGAATGTAAAGATTACCAAGAGAAAGAGCTTCTGTTGTTATAGTTGAAATACTCAACACTTCTTCCAGCTTTGTCTTGTTATTAAAGAGGATTTATGGCCCCCAGATATCCCTTTCAAGTACTAGCTCACTGGCTGTTATTTGTAGTTCCTGAGAATCCTAGCAGGACCTATTGTGCCAGGAGCTGTACAAGCAC